CTGTGTCTGATCCACTCAGACCAGCACAACACACACTAACACACCACCACCACGTCATTGTTACTGCAGTGCTGAGAATGATCCACCACCCAAATAGTACCTGAAGAACAGGATAACAAAGTATGCAGAGAAACAGATGGACTACAGTCTGTAACTGTAGAACTACAAAGTGAAACTATATCGTCAGTGGAGCTGATAAAATGGACAGTGAGTGTAGAAACAAGAAGGCGTACATAATAAAGTGTACCTCAGTGTACGTTGAGCTCACTGAGTGTGCTGGCAAAATACTAGCGAGTTATGTTTATATTTTCGTACAAGCAGAACTGAAACCAAGGAAATACAGCAATGAATACATATTGCCGGGCTGAAAATGAGCAACTTCTGTGCTGTTTGCTCAGCGGTCTTTTCAAATGAAGCTTTAAAATTCAACAATTTAAAAGGTTGTTTCCAAACAAAACTTAAACATGAAATAATAATATTACTACAGTGGTTAAGGTTAAATACAACAGGCATGATGGTTCTTTTAATTACAAATGAACCAGAAATTACTAACTATGTTTTAGTTCCCAAAAGTGATTAGTCTTTCTTAAAAATATTGAATTTAAAAGCTAGTCAGACTAATTTTTCAAGCCAGGGTCAGGAAGAATTGAAGTTGCTTACCTTTTGTTTGCTGCCTCTGCATCATTATTTCAAGTAAGTAGAAACTACACTTTTATAAAACCAAATAACTTATTAAAATATAATAACTGTAAACAGTTAATCAAATAAAAAATAAATTATGTTTTCTTCATTTCTTCAGCAAGAGAGCACCCACAGATGCAGTGCCAAGAGAGGAAGTAAGAGAGAAACTGGCAGAAGGGATCAGCAGAATAGTGTACTTCAGTGTCATGTGGTGTATTTTTTAGTTTGGTAAGCAGGAGACTGCTTGTCACATGATTTTATGATTTGTATGTCTGTCTTCTGTCTGTCTATCCTGACTATTCCTTAAAGAGTCTCTTCTCTGTCTCAATGGACCTTTCCTGGTGAAAAGATAAAAGTCATGTGATTATTCATTGTGATTCACAGTAAAGTTGACTACTTGCATAGAATTATTAATGAAGTGTGCCATCCAATCAAACACATTATGACTCAATCAGTCAAACTAGCATGTTGATTATTTAAATAAATAAATAAATGTAGGAAAATGGGTGGTGGTGATGTAGCACTTGCAGTGAAGATTATGAATGTGCAAAGAATACTGTTTCTGAATCATAAGCATTGTTTGACAAAGTTAAATAAAGTAAATGGAGACAACATGTCAGAATTGTTTACAGTGGTGGGGATGGGAACCAGGTATCTGAAATGTTTAATGGTGCTAAAAGTCCTCTTACAGAAAGTGATTACATTAAATGGATAGAGTTAGGGTTAATACACTAGCTGCAGTTTTACGGAAAGCTTTTGGCTAATGAAAATGTTTTTTTAAAATCCAGAAAGAGGAATCTGGAGAGGTGAGGCAAAATAGTCCCCAGATGTACCATTATTTAACCGTCATCAGTATTCCAGATAAAAGGTCAGAAGACTCGTGTAGGTTCACTGGTGGTTTTGGATAGTAAATATAATGTCTATATTTGTGTTGTAGTCATGGTGACCCCTGGTTCCTATCACCACCACTGTAAAGACATCTGAACCATTTCACACCAAACCACTCTGAATCTCTCTGTTTACACCTCAACCACTGAATTATGAAGGAATTTTGAAAAAAATTGGGAATTTTACTTTAATGTAAATTTTGGCAAAAGTTGTGTTGATGTTTCACATTTTATTCATGTGGAAATGATGTATTTATTTGAATCAAATAAATTCAAAATAACACTCTTTCCAGTGGCAGAATGCCCTAGACCATCTCAGTGATGCCATGGAAATAAAGACAATAAGAGAAAGTGTGTGTTTGAGTGATTTTACCCTGATAAAATAAGGCATAATATGAACGAATCTACCTTTGTTAGTGCACAGTTTTTTGGGTTTTTCTTGGCTGTTTGCTTGTATACCTAATTTAGACAAAAGAGAACAAGTCTACCCTAAAAGTGTGGGTGGTTTTTGGATATCTGATTCACATTTTGCCAGTTCCCTTAAAGACTGCTTTTATTTTATGTAGCACTCAGTTATTTCCACCATATTGAAGCCACTTCTAGCCAGAAATTATAATAAAAGGCTTGTTATTTGAAGCCATACTGAACCTGACACCACTGAGAGCTGTAAGAAGAGTAGCATCACAGTCACAGTAAATGACTGCACACAACATCAGTTTCTGTATTCATCTTGATTGTTTTTTCAATTTCTGCATATCACAAAAAATAGTTGCATGGTTGCGAATCTTCCACTGTTGTACAGTTATTAAAAATAATCATGAGACTAAAACATATAATTATCTTTCTACTGGGCATAGCTCGGCTTGATGATTACCTATGGTGGCCCTTTAATGCTCATCTTTAGCCTAGTAAACAAAAACATCTAGAGTCTTGAGAGCTTTAACTTTTTCTGCACAGATTCAATGTTACTTAGAGCCACTTTAATATCATTGTTATGTTTTTGTCACCCACAACAGTAAATACAAGGTGTGGAAATACAATAGCAAACTGTAACAATAGCCAAGGTTGCCAGGCTCTACAGCCCTATTCCTGGCATTCTAACAATCAAGAAGATAAATAGCCTCCCTTTTCTGTTCCTTCATTCAATCCACCAAATATAGGTCTCTACATTTTATCTTTGCTAATAACTGTTCACTAATAAATGAACCATTCATCATTCAACCTGTATTTTGGTGTTTGGAAACTTAGATTATTCAGAAATCAGCAACAATTCGAGAATTTACATTAAAAATCTTTCATTTCAATACTGTCATACGCTTGATGACAGTAAAACATTTGATGATAATTGAAAGAGAGATGAATGTTCTTTTTTCTTTTAGCAGAAATGTTGGTCACAACCTACTGATGTTCATCTAAGTATATCTCCAGGATATAGTATATAGTGCCACCTGTAGGTATCAGGACACTTTTGTCATTTTTTTGTCACAGTATTAAAAAATAGACTAATTTTTAGATTAGATTGAAAAGTGCAGTCACATTTGAAAATAATCCATAGATGTATTTTGTCTTTTGAATAACAGATCAGTCTCACTATATAAAGCCTGCTTTAGTGTTAGCCCTATTCTTAGGTGTATACTACATTAAACTCTTAAAGGTAACTGTGATCTTGATCTTTGTTTTCCCTCATATTCTAATGTTACTGCTAAAATAAAATTTGGTTTCTCATTCAGCAGATGTGACTGTCTCTGCTGACAGAACCTCTGGCAGAAGACCTGGTGTTTTGGTTCATACTTCCTTTGTGAATAACTGCAAAAGTCATTTGACCAAACATATAGCAAATAGTGAGGCAATAATGCGGTTGGCTAAAAAATGTCTCATTAATTAACATGCAAAGGATTTAAAATGAGTCTTATTTAATGACCATGATCTATGATGGTTATGTTACTCAAATGCTAGGGAAACATACACTTACACTGAAAAAAATAAGTATACAAGTATGGCTTTCAATGAGCATCTTTGAATTCTACAGATGTCACACCACACCTAACCAGCAGGTGGCACCAAAGCATGAGTACTGAAAAAGAACTCAGACATTGCTAAGTGTGGCTCTGATGTTTAAGCCCACTAAGATATCAGTTTCTGTATATCAGTCACCTGTGCCTCGTCATACTGGCTTTAAAAGCCACCAGAGACCTTGGAACACTGCTTAGTCTTTAAGCTTGCTTTGTGCTGAAGTGTCTGTGAGAGTTTTGCTTTTGTTCACTTTGTATTTTTCTTTTTTTCCTCCCAATTGTTGGTATCACTTCAGGACTCTGTACTTCACCTTCACTTTCAAGTAAAACTTTTACATTTCAGTGGTCATAACATGACATCTTAACACAAAAGCAGAGAGTATTTTGCACTAGGAAATGGGAGGTGTAGCAAACTGTAGCAAAAACTTCCTTTCAACCAAAAGCTCCAGACTTTCCTCTAAAAAACTGGGTGACACTGCATTCCCTGTTTTTTGCCATTCTTCTTTTCCCATTTTTCCCGGAATTGCTAAGGTAATCTCCACTGTTGCTGGTACTACACAAGAGAGGGCACCCAAGAGCAATGAAGCTTGTGGAACCTTAAACAAACCTTGAACTCTATTTCTGTGGTGAGACTGAGCTGAGCATCACTGAAACAGATCATAAACAATGATGTAGGCAATAAAAAACACAAATTTTGTACACTCTAAACACAAAAGGGTAGGGGCTCAAGCAGTGGTGCAGGCAGACATAAATTTTGGGTAGTCCTGGGAAAAAGTGAAAACAATTTCCGAGTGTGCTAATGTTCTGCAATGCCATTACAGCAGTACAGTCATCATCTGACCTATCCCAACACTTCCACCCTGTGGTGATACAAAACAATATCAATCAACCAGAAAGTTGGATTCACATAAAAAAAACAACCAGCAGCCTTCGCTGTAATGCAGCCACTCACCACAGGCATGCTTGCCCAGTGAAGACAACATAACTAAGTTAAAATAAGACAGCTGAGATATACAAAGACAAGAATAAAGAGCACAGCAAACCTAAAAAAAAGAAATCTAATCATTAGGATAAACACAGTGCCATGGCATTTGTTACATTTTTGCCTTGTTTGCATTGACATTTACACAAACTCCATTTAAGCTTTTGTAGTAAAAGAACATGTAAGTCCCAAATTCGCTGATCACAGTGACAATTTTTGTTTCTTTGTGGCTTTGGAAATGGGTAGAAAACGACATTATTCTATGGGATGGAATCTTATTTTTAAATATCCTACCTTTACTGTGACCTGTCACAGTAAATATAGCTGTAAAACTAGAGTCAGCTGTGCCGCTTAAACTTTTACAGTTGTTGTCTTTCAACTTCACATGACTTAAACGTCCGTTTAGCAACTGACTGCTAATATATGAATGCAGCCTACCTTTAAATCCTTATCTTCACACCTTTGTACTGCCAAAGACCCTATGTAGGTAGTGAAAAAAGGTAAATGTTTTGTCAATAACTGTCACTTTTGCAATGTTAAAGTGACATTTATAGCCAAAAAATTTAGGTGACCCACTGAATCATGAAACGTGTCTTTCCAGAGTGCTCAGGAACTGGAAGGGTTAAATAGATTCTGATGGAACTACTCAGATTTAGGAAAATAAGCACAATCTCTGTCTCCTAAACAGCAGAAGAAGAAATAGGGGACTTTTATTTTCTTGATTGTTGATGGAATTTTTAAAATGAATTATATAATTCAGAAGTTAGGAGGTGGACAGTCGTGGGCTGGAGGTTAGAGAACCAGCCTTGTCACTGGAAAGTATGTGACTGAAATGCCCTTGAGAAAGGCACCTAACCCCCAACTGTTCCCCGGACGCCGTGGATAGGGCTGCCTTGTGCAATTGCGCCCACTGCCCCCTAGTGTGTGTGTTCACTAGTGTCTATGTGGTGTTTCACTGCACAGATGGATTAAATGTGGAGGTGAATTTCTGTGTTGTGGGAACAATAAGGGTCACTTAATTTTAAGGCGAGGCACAAACTAACGTTTAATGTTACACAAATGTAGTTCAACAGGTTGGAGTTGACTGTGCTTTTAAGCACTTCCTCATATTACCATAGCAACATAATTTCACTGGATTTGGACTGATATTTCTGAAGATTCACACTGAAGACTGTTTTTACCATAAAGGTAAAATATAATATGTATAAATCACAGAATTGACCCCTCTATTATTTTAAGCTCCATCTTGGTGGCTGTAATATTGCACTGCATGTATAACTCACAGTGAGAGCTAGCAGCCAGGCTAAATACAGTCTCTACATGAGGGGGTTAGTTTTAACTTTTGCATGGAGATAACTCCATATCCCTTCATATCATTTTTAAAAATGTTTTATTCACATATTCATTAAAACATACTGAAGATATCATATAAAAACAGACAAAAGTTACACACAGTTATACAAGTGAGTCATATGTCTGAATGTCCATTAGCAGTATTGTATGTATTATAAAAGAAGTTTGACACTCAACATTTTGATAAACAGGTTTTCAAAGCAACATGAAGCACATAAACCACACTGTCTACATCAGAATTTCATATTCACAGATCACAAAAACTGAAGAAATATTTATTTTGTCAAGTGGAACAGTCTCAAAAACAATGACTATCCCAAATACATGCAGTTTTATGCCACAGTTTTAAAACACCCCTGATTAAACGACGTCTTATTTTTGAAAATAGTGAAAATAAGTTAACGTCTTCTACAAAGAGCAAGCTGAAATGCAGCATCTTTCTGCAATTTTAGTGCACAATTTGTATTTTTAATAACTTAATTTATTTATTAATTTATAAATTTTTGTTTAACATATTGGAGGTAAAAAACATAAAACATAAAAAGTGCCATTACTTTTAAACAGGCCACATTCAGTATTTTTCTTCAATATTTGAACATCGAATAGGCAGTGACTGTGCAGCAGTGTGTTCTCTGTAGTGGGTGTGTTCACTTTTTTTCACTCACCAAAACATGTAATTTGATAAAATTTAGCTAAAAATAAAACACATTAAAAATGCAACACAACATGCACACATTTTGCGATAACACTAATTTTCTCTATAAATTTTCACTCAGAAAATCATCAAAATGTAATTTAACCAGGGGCGCCCAGACTTTTGCTTACAACTGTACATACTGCATAGGCAAAGAGAAACAGGCTCACCCACAGATGGGGACTTAATAGTGTTATTGCTAAGTATTATAAACTTTTGCTCTCAAAAATATATCCAGAAAACCAAACTGGGGCTTTGGTGGTCCACTCTCAAACAAAACACGGACCCCCGAGTTCTCTTACCTGATATTGCTTATTCAAACATGATAATGCAAACAAATCCAGTGGTGGTTTAATGAGCATCTGGATTAAGTCAAATGTGGATCACAGCATTCCAAGAATCACTGACACTGTTCTGAGGAGACCGCTTCTCATATTATATCTCCCTCTTGTTTGTACACCAGAGTTACTGCATATAATCAATTCGGTTAATCACTTTAATGAACTTAAACACACCTTACTTTGATCAGTGCTAATAATGCTACATGATTATGCAGTTTATAGATAAGTTTAACAAAAAAGGCTGTGTGTTTTAAAAAAGGATAAAACAATTGATTTTAAATAAGCTCGCCACTAACATTTATCCTCTGGCATGTACAGGTCTGGTGGTACAGCTACAGCCTGTTCCCCACTCGAGACAACATGGCCTCTTCTTCCAGCCACTGTCACAGCAGGTGGACTACAAAGATCAACACAATACAATAAATTGCATTAGTTCAATGTCTCCTTATGGACTGATTTCCAACAGTTGACAAAAATAGTTGTATGTTAGCATTTCTGCCACCATGGCACAGTCATTAAAAGAATTATCAGAATAAAACATAGGAAATCCTGATCTTTCTACTGTGCATCCTGAAAAAGATAACCTGAGACCTAGCTTGGCTTAATCCTTGCATCTGGTGGCCCTCTCATGTGCATTCTTTACCCACAGTAAACAAAAACATCCAGAGAGTCACAAGTGCTTGCTTTGCCACCAACAAAAACGGAAATACAGGGTGTGGAAATCCAATGGCAAACTGCAATAATGGACAGTTTATATACGTTTTAATTTATAATGTGCCTTTCTCATAGTCAAGGACACTTTACAGTCAGGTGGCAGCATCAAAACACAGATACACATTGTACCAATGCAGAAAGAATGGTTATGATGTTGTGCATTACAGTTTGAATCCGTGGTGCACCACAACATGAGTTCATGAAATTGAGGATGATTTCTGTCAGAATATATAGGACAATCCTCTGCACTGTGAAAACCAAGAGTATTATCATAATGCTAATAATTGTTCCCAGTCTCATTTTTATGTTCTTCCATTTAATATCAATTAAACACAAACCTATATTGTTTAACATCTTTGCATAACAAACAAGCAAAAGTTGGTGAACCTTTCTTTTACTTCTTATAACCTAAATTGTTCCCATACTCACCTCTTTCCCCTCGTTTAAATCCATTTAAGTTGAATCTGAATCTCTTCTTTGGTGTTCTGATACTAGAGAGATAAATAGAAAATTAGAAAAAAACAATGACAGAATCTTAAAACCTGAAACATTATTACTTTCATATTAACACTACCACACACTTTAGAGTGTAAATTAATTTATGATAATCATAAAAATGTAGACCTTTTTAGCAAGAATTTTGCTTATAACCTACGGATTTTACCACTTATGCTCGTAGGTATGTTTTTATATTTTATATTTTTTTCCATCTGAATTTCCATGCCCAAATCCTAAAGCAAATTATTCAGTAACTGCATGAAATAACTGTAATTTTTTTTTAAATAATCCCCCTCAGATTAACAGAAAATTTGTTTTATGATCATACACATATTGCTATATGCTTACAATTTACTTCCGAAAGCCAAAAATCTTAGACGCTCTTTGTATTTTTTTATAAAAGTCATTTTTACAGAGCAGATCACTGAAGAGACGCCATCTGAGATCCAGATTATAGCTCAGATTAGTGGAAAAATGGGTCAACGGTCAGTTTCTTTTTAAAATGTCATTACCCATCTATTTGACTGGAAAGAAGACAGTTATAGCTTCATATGACACCCACCTTTGGAATGTAGCTTATGAAATATGAAAGTTATGAAGTAAAGAATATGACGAAGTGTGTTTTTGGAACCACTGGTGGTCCCAAGGAGTCAAAGAGGTTAAAATAAAACTCATACAATGCCATCAGATCTAAGTTGGGTTTTTCACTATACTAGAAAATACTATTAAAATACAATCACATTATCCCTTTTAAAGATTTCCTGAGAATTGTTTTATATTTTTGGAATTAATGGCCCTAAGCCTATACTTGTACATATCACATAACCTCTAAAGCACATGTCAGGCTCCAGTCCTTGCGGGCCAAAACCCTGCAGACTTCAGCACACTTCCTCATTAAACATACCTGATTGAGTACCAGAGTGTTAGATGAGGGTAAATGCTAATGTCTGCAACATTTTGGCCTATAGAGTCATTTTGACATACCTGCTCTAAAGTATGATAGCATTGTGAACTTGATCCTTATTGCCCTTCAAAATCTAAACGTCACTGCTAAAATTCTTAAGGGTTCCCACTGAGGAAACGAGACTCTGCTGACAGAAGGTATAGAGTCTTTGTTCAAACATACATGCTACTTCCTATCCAATTGTCTGGAGAGGCCATGTTACAAACAGTGAGGCAGCAATATGTGACTGACACAAAAATATAAAATTAAGTCTTATTAATTTAATGCAAATAACTTTCATTTGTTAGTATTATTAAAGTGCTGAAAAAACTTAGTAGCCAGAATATGGGATGGTAATATAATACTTACAATCTATAGGAATGAGTTCTTTACTGCCCCGGCGCACTGGTGTTGTTCCACGACAAAGTCGTTTCTTTTCCCATGATTCAAAGTTGAGTTTCATATAGTTTTCATATGATGATGGGATGAAGAACTTACTCTGTTTAACGTCTGTCATTTTCTCAACTTTCCTGAACAGCTCTTGAACACTTTGATCAGTGTTCTCCAAAAAGTGATACCTGTTTCCACACCTCCGAACATAAGAGTTCTTCGAGGCAGTCTGTGAATTCTGTCCAGAATAAATGAACAGCACCATAGTGTAGTCTAAGGCCTCCTTTCCAAACACTGAACTGATTGCTTTTAAAAGATAACGCTCTTTTCTAGTGTCACGCCCAGCTTGAAGTACTAACAGAAAGGCATGAGGTCCAGGGAACGCCTTTGAAATACAGTCCTGCAGTTCATGTTTGATTTGATTGAGTTTTCTGGAAAAAAACCAGAATGATGCCAAGTGATCCCTCCAGACAGAAGGAGTGTCTAACACTGAGACATGTCTTCCTTTAATATAGTTCTCATACACGCTGTTATTGCTTTTTCCTATATCCTCAGTCCTGAGTATGAAGTTATATGCATCATGCTTTGTGTGTTTATCACCTCCCAACAGAATCAATCTGCATTCTTCTTTAGGGTCAACTGAACTTCTCAGGGCGTATGGAAATTTTTCACCTGTATAGAGATACACAATGGACAGATAATTTGTTAAAACATTGCTAATAATATGTTTATAATACAAAAATTGGGAAATCATTGGGAAATAGAAGCACCAAAAGGAGTAAGAATAAATATTTTAGTAAGTTTTTATATTGAAAAATACTAATTATCTCTATTTTGTATGTCTTTAATCATGATGTGATTATTCCTGAGTTAGCTGTGATCCTTGGAAACAACATCATTGGTAACAGAGAGAAATAGAATTTTGTGAAAATTCACATTTAAGCCCTACTTATAAAACAGGATGTACAAATTTTTCATATGGACAATGTCTAGGTACACAATCTGTAAACATATACATCTACAAGAATGTATTTATTTTTCATAGATATCATAAGTCTGATCTTTTCTTTGCCATAAGAACCCCATTTCCAAAAAAGTTGGGATGCTGCACAGAATGTAAATAAAAATAGAATGCAATGATGTGCAAATCATGTAAACCATATTTTTAAAGGAAAATACTACAAAGACAACAAATCAAATGTTGAAAATTGAGAAATGTTTTTTTTTTTTTTTGAAAAATATATGCCATTTTGAATTTAATGCCAACAACATGTCCCAAAAAAGTTGGGACAGTGTCATGTTTACCACTGTGTTTCATCACCTCTTCTTTTAACAACACTATGTAAGCGTTTGGGAACTGAGGAGACACTGCTGTAGTTTTGAAAGTGAAATGTTTCCCATTCTTGTTTGATACAGGATTTCAGCTGCTCAACAGTTCAGGGTCTCCTTTGTTGTATTTTTTATGTCATAATGAAAAATGGGTGGGTGACAGGTCTGGACTGCAGGCAGGCCGGTTTAGCACCTAGTCTCTTTTAATCCGGAGCAATGCTGCTGTAATACATGCAGAATGCGTTTTGACATTGTCTTGCTGAAATAATCAAGGTCTTCCCTGAAAAAGACGTCGTCTGGATGGCAGCATGTGTTGCCAAAACATATATATTATTCAGCATTAATGCCTTCACAGCCTTCACAGATGTACACGTCACCCATGCCATGTGCACTAACGCACCCCTATACCATCATGAATACTGACTTTTGAACTGTGCACTGAAAACAAGCTAAATGGTCTTTAGCCCTTAGGACACAATGTCCATGATTTCCAAAAAGAATTTCAAATGTAGATTTGTTGTACTTGTACACAGATGGAATGACAATGAAAGCCTCTTGACTTCACTTTACTTGAGGACACTTTTCCACTTCGCCTCAGTCCGTTTTAAACAAGCTTGGGCCCAGAGAAGGTGGCAGCGTTTTTGGATCTAGTTCATATATGATTTCTTCATTGCATTTTAGAGTTTTAACTTGCATTTGTGGATGCAGTGACGAACTGTTTTCACAGACAGTGATTTTCAGAAGTGTTTCTGAGCCCATGCAGTTATTTCCTCTACAGAATATTTCTTCAGGGTATTTGGCCAGCAAATACTGGTTTTTGGCCTTGTCCCTTGCATATAGAGATTTCTCAAGATTCTCTGAATTTTCTAATATTATTATGTACTGTAGATGATGAAAAGCAAAAAGTTCTTTGCTATGTTATGTTGAGAAACATTATTCTTGAGTCTTTCACAAAGTGGTGAGCCCCTCCTCATCTTTACTTCTGAAATACTCAGCCTCTCTGAGATGCTCTTTTTATACCCAATCATGTTACTCACCTGTTGCCAACTAACCACCAGGAGTTTTTTTAGCATTACACAACACCAACTTTTTTTTGGCCCTATCACAACTTTTTTGGAGCATGTTGCCGGCATCAAATTCAAAATGGGCCTATATTTTTCAAAAAACAATAAAATGTCTCAGTTTCTACATTTGATATGTTGTCTTTGTACTATTTTCAATTAAATATAGGGTTTAAATGATTTGCACATCATTGCATTATGTTTTTATTTACATTTTGCACAGCATCCCAACTTTTTTGGAAATGGGGTTGTAAATACAGCCCTGCTTTTTCCTTTCAAAAAATGTCAAGAACAAGAAAAAAAAAGAGTGTCAATGGAGAAAAGAGGGAGAGACATGTTTGAGTTGCTAAGCTCATAGCTGAGTTAGTCAATAAGGCTTGAAAGAAAACAAAATATAATGCTGGGAAAAGACTAAAGGACGTAAAAAACATGCAGTTCGAAGGACATTTAGCTGCAGCACTCTGAGAGAGAAGTCCATCGGCGTGACGAACGAATTTGAGCTAGTTTGGACGATATTTTTCAATGAACAGCCTGCTAACCCACTAGCTAGCTTTGTTAGCATTGAAAAAACTAATTCGGATGAATGGACTTCAGGACACTTTGACACTGTACGGTTACCTATGTACATGGACCTGTTTACTTCAACATTAGCCACGTTTACATGCGGCCTAATAATCAGTTAATAATCTGACTAATAGCTCAATCGGAACAGAATATGTCCATGTAAACACTTCAGTTGGAATAGTCTAGTCTGATTGAGGCCATTTGGAATACAGTTTCTATTCGATTGAACGAGGTGGGTAATCCTGTAAATAATCCGTTAAATAGAAGAATAATATCCGTGTAAACGCCTGTATCTGATTACATTCCCTATCAGAAAGTTTAAGTCCGTTCTGATCATGTTCGTCACGTCATAGTTAAAATTTATACCGTTCAGCATGGCGGAGCAGAAACTGGTCAGCAGAGGAGACGAAGTTTATGCTCTGATCTTTAAAAGATGGCGGTGGGACGGACGTCCAGCTTATGTGTCTCAGAACACGACGTCTTCCTCTCGGCCTTCTTTAATAAGGACATGTGAAGGACGTTTTCCTGAGTCTGACACCATTTTAAAGTAAATAAAAACACAAGCGCTGCTCACTGCTGTTCATCTCACTCTGACTGGACTCACGTGATGCTCATTGTCATGGTAACGTCTACACTAAGTGGTGGTTTACACATGCACGTCATTTCGGATTACTTGTAGTGAGCATGTAAACAAAGATTTTCCATCAGATTGTTGAGTAGACTGAGGAAATAAACAACTCAGTCTTAACCTGTAATGGGGATGTATTCAAGATTGGCAAAAAGATTGGCAAAAATCTTTGCATGTAAACACAGCCATTGGGAGAATCTGTTCTCCCAGCTTCCAGAAGCTACCTCAAGACTTTAAACGCCAGGATGTTTCATGTATCCACTCTCAAACATTGGTTAAACCTGTCTAATACTGTTTGGGTCAAGACAAAGTCTTTTTTTCAGATATTTACGTGTCGTTGTGACATTGCAGTCTTTTCAATGAACAGTGTCCACATCTGTATGTTTGATGCAGGATGAATTCTGATATGTTTATGAAACTGTTCACTCATGCTAAAGGGAACGTTGCGGAGTGTTTTTGAGCTTTTCTTATTGTTGAGGGGCAACACTTCAAACTTTTACTTTCACACTGTTGATTTAAGATGAGGACGGCACGGTGGCGCAGTGGGTAGCGCTGCTGCCTCACAGCAAGAATGGGTTCGATTCCCGGCCAGGGTCATTTCTGTGTGGAGTTTGCATGTTCTCCCCGTGTCTGTGTGGGTTTCCTCCCACAGTCCAAAGACATGCAGTCAGGCTGATTGGACGTGCTAATTTGCCCCTAGGTGTGACTGTGTATGTCTGCCCTGCGAAGGACTGGCGACCTGTCCAGGGTGTATCCTGCCTTCCGCCCAATGACAGCTGGGATAGGCTCCAGCACTCCAGCTTATCCAGAAGGATAAGCGGTTTAGATGATGGATGGATGGATTTAAGATGAACTCAGAACAACTTCTTAATTGGTGTGAGGGGAAAATGTCGATGCCAAACATGCAGTAGTGCTTAGTGGGGTGTCTCCTGATGAAGTTCTTTAACAAGTACTAGATGCAAGCAGGGTATTTGGGCATACTGAACAAGTAGGCAGTGTTTAGAATACACAGGTAGAAGCCATTGTATCCTGGAAGAGATTGCAGCTGACATTTTATTGATTAGAGTCCCAGAACAGATTGGGATTAAAGATGAGTGGGGTCCCTGAGTAGGTAGCATCATAGAAACTACAACTGCAAGCTCCAGTTGAAAAAGAAGACTTTCAAGCAAAACTAGCTGCATTCCTAGGGCATGAAGGCAAGACATTAATTGATTTTCCTCTAACTAATATATGCTAATCCAGGGCCTCAAATATCAAATTCTAAAAAGTTGGGATGGTATGTGACATGCTAATTAAAACAGAAAGCAGTGATTAATAAATTCTGCTTGACCTCTATCAAACTGAAAACAGTACAAATCATGTAATGTGATTGTCCACACATTTTATCCAAAATGGTGTCACAGACTGTGCTGTCAGTGTTTCGTTGTATGTTTATTTACCTTGCATAAGCCAACAGCATGACTGTTTTGTTGTTTTTTTTGTATGTTTATTTACTTTATTTTGTTGTTTTTTTGAATGTTTATTTACCTTGTATAAGCCAACAGCATGACTAGCATGGAGAACAAACACACAGACTCATTGTTCATTATAGCTAACCACACTCACAAACTGCCCAAGTGTGTGAATACACTGACACTGTGACATCTTACATCAGCTTCTGTGAGCATATCGAAAGCACTTACATATGACACTTTGGGTTAAACTGTCACGAATACCACCAACGAAGCTATGGACTTGATCTCACAGAGGACATGACCTCCTCACGGCCTACAGACTCTATCCACACACGGACTACATCTCCCAGAGTGAAGAGCGAGATCAGCTGACTGCTGATCTCCACACTCGCTCACGAATTTTAATGTGCAACACCTGTATGTTTGATCACATGACTACTTCAGACTAGCTTATAAGCCCGGGCTTTAGCAATAGTCAGTTGTGAGGTATTGCTTCATTCGTGAACTACTGAGCGTTATTTCTATGGTGTTATTTTCGTGTATGACTTGTATTCTCGTTTCCCCCAACTCTGATTTCTGGTTTACCCCTCTGGATTGTTTGCTTTGGTTCTCTGTTTTTGTGCCTTGACATTTTTGCCTGCTTCTTGACTACGAGTTTGGATTCTGATTTCAACATTAAAGCCTGGTTGAACTCCTTTATCCGCAAGCGTCTACCTTCTGTGATCACCGTTACAGAAACCTGAAACTCAGACAGCTTTGTCTATCCAAAGAGGTGATATATAGAATTGCATATAGGACTAGATATAAAAGATATAAATACAGCCAAAAAGATATAAAAACAGCCAAAAAAAGCTATTTTAGCAAGCCAGGTAGTGTGCTATCAGCTCTCTGAAAGGCTGATCATTTGGGACACAGATGGAATGTTCAGTTTTCTCTGGAGACAGTGACACAGGGTGAGCATGATAGCTTTTGAAGGGTCAAACAAAGAAAAATGCCTTTATGTTGGGAAAAAATTGCTTTTCATTCTCTTGTCTGGAATGGTTTCATGAAGATGACTCGAGACTTTATAGCTGCTACCACATTAGTTAATGCCTCAATTACTGTCAGATCATGTGCCCTTATATAAATTGTTATCAGTTGAGCTTGCTAAAAAACGAGGAGGTGAATGTGATGAGTCCTTATAAGCTGAAATGACTTAAATTGTTTGGTCATTTTTTTTCTCAGTTTCTCCAATTTAGCCATTGCTATTTCTCCCCTATTACACACAGTGCCACAGGGGTGTTAGGGCTTCCTGTTCTCAGACATCAGACTGCAGAAGGCTAATTGCCAAAATTCAAACTCATGATCTTTCGATTATAGAAATACAGTTTTGCCATGAGGAAGGAGGACTATCTTATGGGTGGGAACTGCAAATGACTAAACTGGGGGAGAAACTGAGTAAAAATCAAGCAAAAAAAATGTAAGCCTTGCACACCTACTACTCGAATTCAAGCTTTAATCAAGCCTGAAATACAGCCCGAGAACCATCTGTGTGAGCCCAACTTAACCTGACCCGACACACAGCATCGCGTTTTGAATCCAAACCCAGTCTGAGTCCGATCAAATTCAGGATGTTTTAGGTCTAACAGATCTGAACTGGCCCTTCGCCCAAAGAACCAAACAAAAAACATGACAGGATGGCGCCGGTTTACAAACAAGTACAAGTACTGCTAATAATAGCATAATTAGAATGCTGATCAATAAAATATAACACAATATATAGAAAATAAAATGGTACATTAATCAGATGTCCACAGTTAAGTTTAAGTTCTGCTTTGACAAATATATTCAAGTAAGGCTTTTGAACAGCATCTTACATGCATGAGAAGAAGACTGCTTTGGGAACTCATTGCTAAATACGATTTAGAATAGTAAAAGCAGTGAAGAATAAAGTGAGAGTAATGTGGGGAAAATGCAGGATAAAGTCTGTTTAAAGTGGGAAGTGAGCTGTGAAAACCTGAATGTGAAGTTTGAACCCAGCACAAGTGATGTCTGAACCCAACTGAACTCAACATGACAAGAATTTGAATTCAATCCAAATGTGTACATGATTTGCACATGAATAAAAACTCTTACATAAATGCAATACTGTCCTTTATTTTACTTGCTTCTGTCATGGGGATTCCAGCTTAGCACTGAAGGATTCTGTCTGATACTGATTTGTTTCCATGGTTCAGTGTGTTCCAACCATCCATCCATCCATCCATCATCTAAACCGCTTATCCTTCTGGGTTGCGGTGGTGTTCCAACCAGTGTTCACTATATTATTAATTCCCTTTATAAAGGCTGACTTTGCCCTCAGTTTTTGCAAAGACTTGCCTGTGTTTGTCTACTGTAATTCAAAGCTGTTTAGCCAGTATTGAATATCTTATGTTTTGACTTTAGTCTGTTGTGTCCTGACTCTGCATTGCATTTGGGTGTGTTGTCTGTCTTGTGAATATACTTCTTTTTATATTGGCCTGATTTTGTGACCACTGAGGGCACTTTTTGGAGTAATTATAACAGTTCCAAAGACTCACTGTGCTCTATGTCCACTTCTGTCATCCTGCTTTCTGTATCCACATCTGGTGTCCAGTCCTCTATATCTTCATCTGATTCTGCAAGTAAAGATACATAGCAATTTTATTTATATGTTACTGAACTTTGAGAATGAGCAGCAACTACCAAAACCAATTTTGCTTCAGGGTCGGTTAAACATATACAAAAAGGTGTAATATAACTTAAACATTCAAATACAAAAAGAAATGGCAATGGAATAACACAATAAAATGACCTGAGCTAAAAAAATAATAATAATAAAACTGACTGTTAATAAACTCCAGTACAGTGCATAGACTTTGTATACACAACATTTCTGAAAAGTACTGGAGCTTTAAAGTGAAGATTTGTTTTTGCTGTAGACTCAAACAATCAGGATTAATAGGATTTGTCTGCAGATATTTTAAAGAAAATTAAAACGTGAAATATGCCTCCTGCATAAATATTAAAGCCCCACACATTGATACTTAATAGAGCAAGTTTCAGTTTCTAAGCAGAATGAAGCAGTATTTACCTGTATTTTACTGTCTGCTTCAGTTTAAATATCACTTTCCCATGTTCTCACATTTCCCACTCTGATGCTTTCTAGCATTGTTGAGATATAATCTCACGCATTTTTATGGGTTCCTTCTTGCCCCCCTCCCACACAGGCCTGTTTTATGCAGAGCTGTTGATCTTACGAACATGTATGTTTACTCCACTTTCAGACACAGAAATCTATAGCACTTTCAAAAAGATTTTTACTTTCCCTCATTAGTCTGCAGTGTGTGATGCATCTTCCTGATTATTAATCCAAATATTTGGGTACCACTTTTAACCCTTTTCATTGTTAATGAATTTCTATTAATTTGTTTGTAAAGTATACCATATAATTTTCATTCCCAGTGCTTCCCTTCAGGCTCACAACCTGATCAATAATCCTTAAAGAGAGATTTTTTTTTTATCTATGGCAGATATATTAACGGCTCACAAGTGGAAACCATTTAAAAAGCTATTGTGACCTTATTAGGAATTCTTTTGAAGTATGAAAACTTACAGCTTCCACAGCACAGGGACTTCAACAGTTATGCAAGCAGCTAGACTTCAGCGATAATCCAAAACATACAACCATCAAAAATTCTTGTTTTCAATGAAAACTGAAGTCTGATCTTCAGCAATGTTGACTTTGCGCAAGTGCGAGTCAAGTCCTCTTTGGGGAATGAGCTGAGTCCTGAGTCACTGTGGTTCAGGTCTGAATTGAGTCTTGAGTCTTTGGGTAGAGTCTCAGGTCAGTGAGTTTCAAATCTTACTCAAGTTTTGAATCTCTTTGGTGCAAGTCTGAGTCAAGTATTGTGTCTATGGAGTGCAAGTCAACACTCAAGTCTTTGGGGTGAGAGTCAGAGTTAAGTCTTAAGTCTCTGGGGTGTGAGTCTGATTCGAGTGTTGAATTTGTGGTGGTAGACCGTCTGAGTCAAATCTTAAGGCTCTGAGGATGAGACTGCAAGTCAAGTCTCAAGTCTGTGGGTAAGAGTCTGAGCTGAGTTTCAAGTGTTTAGGGGGAGAGCGTGACTCAAGTCTATAGTCTCTGGTGTGAGAGTGTCACATCTCGAGTCTCTGGGGTGAGAGTCCGAGTCAAGTCTCAAGTCTTTGTGGTAAAGTTTTCAGTCTCTGGGGTGAGAGTACATGTCGGGTCTTCAGGCCCCGGGGTGAAAGTCCAGTGTCGCGTCTGTTGGGCAAGTCCAAGCTGAGCCTTAAGGCTCTGGGGTGACAGTGCGAGTTGAGTCTCCAGTCTCAGTGATGAAAGTGCAAGCTGAGTTTTCAATCTGTGGTGCAAGTCCAAGTTGAGTCTCAAGTCTCTGGGGTGCAAGTCCAAGTCGACTCTCGAATTTCTGGAGTGAGAGTGTGAGCCGAGTTTTGATTCTGTGGTATAAGTCCAAGTTGAGTCTTGAGTCTCTGGGATTTGAGCCGAGTTTCATGTTTCTGAGGTGCAAGTCAGTTCTTGAGTCTCTTGAGTGTGAATCTGAATCTTGAGTCTCTAAGGTGCAAGTCAGGTTTCAAGTCTTTGTTGTGAGTCCAAGTTGAGTCTCCAGTCTTTTAGTTGAGAGTCCGACTCCAGTCTTCAGTCTCTGAGTTGAGAGTCAAGTTGAGTTTCAAGTCTGTGATGCAAGTCTGAGTTGAGTCTTAAGTTTCTGAGGTGGGTCTCGAGTCTCTTGAGTGTGAATCCGAGTCAAACCTTGAGTCTCTGGGGTGCAAGTGCAAACACAGTCTTGAGTAACTGGATTGTAGGATTGAGTTGAGTCTTGAGTCTCTCAGGTGTGAGTGAAGTCTCTGAGGAGTCTGTCTATTTTCAGGTCTGAGCATGCATTTTATACATGCTTGCTAACAATTTCAAGTTGTTTTGCCTCTTTCCTTTAAACACTGCATTTATTTATTTATTCTGTCCTTCATTCTGAAAGTTTTCGCACTGTAGAGTGACAAACTGACAGGCAAAGACCCAATCCCATTTCTTCTTTTTACCCCTACCCCTTGTTTTCGAGTGTCACCCTAGTGGTAGTGGTTGAAATCTTGCCCTACGAAATGGGACCCTCAAATAAAAACAAAACAAAACAAAAAAAAAATCATTGCCTCGTTAACAGGCTACTAGCGCTGCTCTCTAGGCAACCCGGCTAGTCTGCAGTGACACCAGAGGAGGGTAAAGTTCAGCTCCTCACTGCTGGGCATTAGTTACATTTAGGGCATCATATGACTTCAAAGATATAGACAATTATTTATCATCGCCCACCCCTAATTCTTCAGTGATATGAAGCTGAAGTCAGATATTCACCAGCTTCTAGTTCAAATTTTCCCGTTCCACCTTAAATGGAGCAGCAGTTACATTCTGGCGCTTCAGGCGTCAGAACAGCTGGATTATTTAAGGCGGAACAGGAAAGTTAGCTAGCTAGCTACCAAGACATCAGCATGCTATTAGCGATTGTTTATGCTTGTTACGAAGAAAACGACCAAAATACATTGAAACGACATTAAACTAAGATAATACAAACGTTATTGTAATTTTTTAACGGAGAAAATACTTACATTTATAAGTTTCTTCAGTCTCTTGTGCAGCCATCTTGTTGGTTTTTCTTTTTTTCTCATATCACTCTGTTTGGAGTGAGTCTCTGAAAAAACTCAGTTTGGAGGGCCATATAGCTCTAACACTTCGCCCTACCCCTCTATCTCAACTAAAATTGGGACACCCTAACCCTAGACGTGAATGTGCAAAACAGAGGGCTAAGGGCTAAGTGGTAGGGGCAAGGGGTGAAATGGGATTGGGCCAAAGTCACACACATAATGTTGGAAAAGAAAGATTATCTTCTTTGAGCACATTAAGGTTGACAGTCTTAATATAAGTAGTTTTGTTCATCATTTTTTGAGTCTGAGTCAAGCTGCAATACATTTAAGCATAAGTCAGAGTCAAGTTGGTCAATCAACACATGACTCAAGTGCGATCCCTCATCTCTGCTGACTGTAAAAGTTCTTACTGTGTAAATGACATGCACACTTCCCTTAAAATGTCAAAAATATCATTTCGAAGACTTAACACAATTCTTGCTCTGGGTATATGTGCGTACATGCATGTGAAAGAAGCATAGAGAATATATCATTTGCTGAGGTTATTAGGCAGCCTGCCATGATTTTAGTACCTCTAACAATACCTTGAGCCCTCTCTCTCTTTTGAGTAATTTCTCTCTTTTGCCTAAATCTTCAGCTAAAATTCTTTTTATGTACTACAAAAAACGACTTACCATCTTTGAGTAGTAGACCTGTACAAATAAATAAGAATATGATGAGATAGGGGTAAGATTTCTTTAAAACAAAAGCACAAAATTTCTAAAAGTATTCTTATGAGATCAGTTTTATTATTATATGTACACAATTAATAATTGCAACTACATGAAAAACAGATTTTAAGATTAATTCCATGCATTTTATAGCCTAAAATAACCTTACAATGTTGACCAAATTTGAATGAAAGTGCAAAGCATGTATGCATGAAATCTCAGTTACTTACTAGGAAATGCTTTAATTTAACAAAGCATAAATCAACTGTGACTGTGCTACCTAAACAGGTTAGGCCTATAGGCCTACAGTCTAACCAAATATGTATAAGAAATATAATATAATTTTGCTATATGTAAGACTGTACTCAGTATAATACTCAGTATAATATTTTGAAAGATATCTTAAGGCAGTCTTAAAAGTCTGCCACACTCGCTGATCAAGCTTTGACATTAAGCTTTTTTGAGGATTTGTAAATCCATATCTTATTCATATCTTGCTATAAGGCCAAAATCACTTCAACAGTAATTTGCAAATGACTGCTGTATTGTGGAAGTTCAATAATGTAACAATTAGCACTGAGTAATTTATAATATGTCTGAGAAAAAGAGAGAGGAAACAATTTCAGTCTTCAATTTCTTCCAGCTCTTCAAATTTATGAGACAAAGAGTGAGAGAGAAAGAAAAAGGGAGACAGAAAAAAGAAACATTTTAGCCTACTCAATTCAAATGGTATTACTTTCTCATTTTTTTTTGCAATCATTTTTTTTTACTGTCATTCAGTTTATCATCTCTCTTTCTCTCTCTTTCTGTCTCTCTCTCTCTCACACACACACACACATACACATAGATGCACACCTCCCCTCTGCTCTTACTCATTCAAAGGTTCACTGAGTTTTCTAAGGTAAATTGGCTAGCTGTAAGTGACTAGCTGTAGTGCTAGCATTGATCGAGTCCTGCATCTTTGCATCTTAACTTTATGTAAAATTAATGTTATTGTAAAAGCACACTTGTAGCATATTTTGTGAGCAAGCTGTGTGGTTTGAGTGAATGTAGCTACATACTTCTCAGCCTAATACATTGGCATTAGCCTTTGGACTGACCGTTTGGTTCCTTATCTGGCACTTGGTCAGGTTATAGGAGTTTCAAAATAATTCTGACTGATTAGTTTAGCTGCTGCCATTGAAGCGCTCAGGTCTGATGAAGGATATACAATTTTTCACTCTTTGTAACAGCTACTGTAGGGGCAAACTAGGTAGCTGAGGTGTGGTGATGGTCCATTTGTGCCAAGTCGTTGTGTTTGACAGTCATCCACTAGCAACTCAGTTGGCCATTTTAGAGGAGAATGCTCAAATGTTTATTGGTAATTTTTCTAATTGACTAGTATGTGCTTCAATGAGCACATATATGTAGTTAAAATTCCTACTTGAAATAAAATGTCATTTTTTCCTGGCATTTTTCTACCGGCCCCTCTTGGAGAAACTTAACTAGTAACCCCCAGGCAATTTGAATTAGAGACACCTGTTCTATGTGTTTAAATAAAACCTTTTCACTGTCAGTTCAGAATTTAATTGATTCTTTCCTTGATGGTTTAACTGGGCAGATTGAATAATTTAAAATGGATTTTGTTTGGTTTATATTTATTTGACGTCCTGAATATGTTTTTGATATTATAATATCTCACAATCTCTACTTCTTTAAAATACCTGTGTGTTTCATACATACACACACACACACATTCTAAGCCGGCTTATTCTGGTTTGCGGGGGGTCCTGGAACCTATCCTAGCAGTCATTGGGCTTTTGGGAATTGTTTTGTTTAATTTCTA